GGCGAGGTGGTGAGCATCGAGAGCAACGAGCACTTATTCCAGATTCAGCTATATCCGTGTCCGTGGTCAGTACTGCCGTCCTAAGGAAAAACACCTTAAGAGCATTCGAATGTTGCCAAATTTCTTCTCGGAAACTGTCTATTTTTGAAGAAAGTTATGAATATTCTTCCATGAATTTTTCAGACTTTATGGAGAAAATTTCGAACAAAATTCCCCCAGAAATCGGATGAGAAATATTCACAAGTTTTCCTTAAAAATGTGTTATTTTTCGAAGTAAATTTGGCAACGCCTGAATGTTCATACAGCGTTGTTCCTTAGCACGGCAGAGTAATAATACTACTCTTCTTCCTTACTTCCTGGCACCAGCCCCACCAGCGAAATTGTAGTAATAGAATAAACCCCACTCCGTGCTTCGGCTCGCTTACCAAGAGTCGGAAGGGGCTGCAACGAATCCGAAAGAAGGGGAGGGGGGCAATATGCCGTGCAACTTGCCCCTAGGCTACCGGATAGAGTCAAACACATTTTAAAAATAATTGAAAAATTAATTGTGTAGGTTGATATTATGCTAAAATTAAAAATTAGGTCTACGCTGACTGTTGTTGAGCCGGTGCGCCATTTGAACGCATTGCCTATTGCCCATTGCCACTAGTTTTTTTTTTTTTTTGGTTGTTGTTGTTGGTTCGGCAATCTGCTCTGGGTATTTAGCCTGAATTTTGATAGGACGATCTTGCGACTAGTATACTAGAGTTCTATATGCAGGCCATAATCAAAAAGCGCTCCCTATCGGCTGAGCGCTTAAAAAGAGCAGACTTCAAAAGGGTCTGGCTTTAGTAGTGTCTACATTTATCAATATGGCCTTGTCTCGACGGCGCAACTGTTGCGTGACTTTGGTGCAGCAAGGGAAGGAGGAAGGAGGTGTTCCAAAAATGTTTCACTGAAGAGTGAAACTTTAAAGGTCAGAGGCCGCGAAGATCGAACAGTTGTTGACCTTCGTGTCCTGGATTGATAAACGCTGGTTACGCGTAAGACGTGAGTTTTCAGGTGTTTTATTTCTGAGCGTTTAATATTTAGAAATTTTTATTTCTGAGCGTTTAATATTTAGAAATATTGAGTTTTTAGGTGTTTTATTTCTGAGCATTTAATATTTAGAAATATTTAATAAATCTTATATTTTAGTTAAAAGCACATCACTCCTGCAGAACAATGAAATTATATCGAATATTTTTACTTTCTCACTCCCCTAGTTTTAAACTTATATCAGAGTTATGTTATTGTTTTTTGTCATTAAAAATGGTCGAAATTACGTAAACTATCCACTTTCGAAGTATAGATATCAGTTCAGTTACCCCAGAAGGCATCTTGTAACAGTGGCGAGGCGTGAATGATCGATCAACAATTTTTCCCCATTCGAAGTTACGGTGAAGAATCGATTATTAAGGTGTTCGTTGCGAACACCCTGTCTATCGATCTTTTTCCATAGGTTTAAATGGCAGATCAATCGATTTATCGCAAAGCACGCCACGCCACTATCTTGTAACCTAAAAAAAAATAATGCTGATCATATATTCCCGCCTATAAGTTCCAGGAACACATGCGCGTGTCGAGACAGGGAACTTTGGTTGGTGGAACAAACGCGCAACAGTTGCACCAAATTCACTCAACAATGCGCTGTCGAGATAAGACCTAAGAGTATTAGATGATATTGCACAATGATGAATTCAAAAATCCAAACAGTTCTGGAGAAAAACAGACACTTTTGTAAGATCATTTTTCGAAGAACACGAAAGGGAAGGGAAAGGGTATAACAAACGCTGCACAAGATGATCATGATCGTCACAGCAGGGAAAAGATATTGCCACACAAGAGGGGAAAGATCCCCGGAGGCCATTAAAATACATTCAACAACTGAGGATGAGGGTCAATATATATATCCTCGAGCGGGGTAAAATATTTTAGGTAGGCAATCTGCATCGCAATCACATTGCGGGGTCTTCCTTCGCTTTCCTTCATCGCCAAGATTGTAGCGTTCTCCCATTTTCCCGGTACCTTGCATCACACTGCCGGGCTAAGGAAGAATGTCGTATAAACGTTCGAATGTTGCCAAATTCTTCCCAATAAAATCTTTATTTATTATTAGATAAGAAGAAAAACACTGAAAACTGTAGCCTGAACTATGTGTAACAAGGTGTTCCCTTGTTACACATAGTACTTGTTTTTCCCTTGTTTTATTTGAGTGAAACATTTCATTGGTTTTAGGGATATATTATCTTAAATATACATATCTTTCAAGCACCAGTGTGATAGTAGAGGATATTCACTGAAATCCTCAGTTGTGCTGAGTTAGAAGGAGAATGGAGTGAGAGACAAGGTACAAATTTAAGTATTCTGATACATGTTTCTTGACCAGAATTTCAAGTAAAACATGATTCTTGCACTGAAAATTACCTAAATCATTTCCTTTCTAAGATATTTACATTTTTGCCTTATATTGATTACGGAAAATTTGAATTGCCTGTTCACAAGTGACTCAGTACTTTAAGTAAGTCCAATCGTGTACTACAACAATTTCGGCAGGTTTCTCAATCCAGCACTGTTCATTTCCCACCCTGTGTTGTTCAAAATATAAAAAACTTAATATAGCCAAGCCAAAGCGTCAAGATTGAGGTTGCCAAATTTTCATATCGCGGAGAGTTGCATTATAATTTTTAGTGTGAGATTTGACTCATGTAGACCATTGAGTATTCATGAGCGGAAGGTTTGAATTCACGCGTCAAGAAACATTAAATATATTGCTTGGAAGTTAATTTCAGTAATTTCCGTTGCTGAAATCGTATTTTACGTAAAATTTTGTTTCAGAAACACGTATCAGAATGCTTAATTTCTTACTTTGTTTGGTGGTCCATCAAATCCTCTGAAAAATTGGACCGCGTTTAACAGAAAGGAACCAAGCCACATCGGCTATTGCCAAATTTAACAAGGGAATTTCATTTTTTACGAGAGAACGTTGGTGCGGATTTCTATGAAAATTTTGAGGACTTTGCTTCATACTATGAAGAAAATTTACTGAAATTTGCACAAAAATTCGCAGAACCGTTTTCATGTAAAATAAAAAATTGCCAGATTAAATTTGGCAATAGCTGATGTGGCTTGGTTCCTTTCTGTTTAACGCGGTCTAATTCGAAGAAAAATATTCGCTAGTTTTTTTTTAAAAAAAAAAAAAAAAACTCATACTCCATGGGAGGCAATTTGGCATTGTTCGAGTAGTGATAGGACGTTTTTGCGTTGGCACGGGAGCAGAGGACTTTAGATTCCCTTCTCACGCACGGCGGATCGCCATTTATGGTCCCTTCTCGGCATCGTTCCTCCCTAACACGTTCTCGACGACACTTCCCATTTTGTGAGCGCCACCATTACTCAATTATGCGGGGGGAATGGGGCCATTCCGAATCATATATTGTCGTATTGGGTAAAAAGTTCGACTTTCATGGGTCTTTTGCATGAAAACACCGGTGGAATCCTACGGCGGAGCAGCCCCATTCACAGTAACGACCCAGGTGTACTTTTATTTTATTCATTTTCAGCGGGCTCTTTCAGTTTGAGTGACCGTCATTGCCCGTGAGTATGATTCATGTTTGCCAAGGATTAGCTCTTGAAACCTCTCCGACTTGGAGATTAAATTTAAATAAAGGTATTTGAGAATCTTTTGACGAAAATGCTGTGATACTACTTCGATGGACCTTTTCATAAGTACTTATTAGTGCGAGTTTTCATTGAGCATGCATGATATCGCGTTCTCATTGAAGTGATTTATCACAGCTTCAGGCGTAGTCGAACTAGCGTGCAATATACCGCATCGAATAAGTAAACATTTTCGGCAAATTTTCAATTTTTACCCCCAAAAAAACAAAAAAAAAAAAAACAACGATAGCCCCAGAACAGAAATTGAAAACTGTATCGAATACGATGTTTTTTTTGTCAAAAAAGGATCATGATTTCATTTCTCTGAATTTTGCATTTTTTTTGTATAGAATGATTCTTTAGGCGCATGTGCAGAGGCTATCGTTATTTTTTGGCTGAAAATTCAAAATCTACTAGAAATGTTTTTCAATCTTTGTGGGGG